ATTGGAAGAGCCAAAAAAACTGGGATGGGCGGGTTCTGGTCTACAGACCCGATTGGAAGCTTGAACTCGGGTTTTCATTCTGCATTACTTCTTAGTTCGTTTTTGCTTTCAATTTTGCGCTAGTTTGGGTTCTGCTTTATTTATGGTCATTTTAGTCGGGATACTAGAGAACATTTTGTTTTGATTGTGTAATGAATCTTTTTTTTTAAATGAATGACACCCCATCCCTGAGGGCCCCCCATCACCGACCGGACGGCACGATGGAAGGATGTAAATTGGACTATAATCACAGTCTGACAGATAGAGAGCGAGGCTCTGTCCCCGATACTTGCAGAGGCCCTATGCATTTTTCAGCATAGTAACTCCTCATCGCAGTTGTCGGGATTCGAACCCGAGACCTAACCCTTGTAGCACTCCCTTGCTACCAGTTGAGCTACGCTCACCGGTTTTCTTTAAAGGGATTGTTTAATGGACTTGAGTGACGGTTTGTTTCGGTTTTCTTTGCAACCACTTGTGCTTAAATAAAAACACTTTTTGATAAAAAGTGATTAGTAGTAAAAGTTGGTAGTGTTTGGTAAAATAAGTACTTTTTGTGTAATAGAGAATTTAAAAAGTAGATTTTACACGGAAGCCGAAAAAATAAAAGTTGGTAGTGTTTGGTAAAATAAGTGTTTTTTTTTCTTAAAAAAAGCCAAAATCACTTTTCTTAAGTGGTTGCAAACAAAGCCTTCATCGGCTATTTGCACATTTAATTGTTAACGATTTACTCTGTCATTCTAGTGAAGTAATTCTAAGCCTAATCCTAGAGTTATTGAAGTCCATCTTCTTCAATAAAGGAAAAAAACTAATGAACATACGTAGTATATAATACGGAGTATATTGGTATGCTCACCACTGCATTTGTTAAATGATTCTCTTGTGTAACTTTCAAATTTGTTAATGTTTGTTTGTGCAATTGGTGCAAAAATCATTATTTGTAGCATGGTTTTAGCCTTTACGGTTTTATTTTTTGTGAATGACAAGCAATGTCTATATATAGTTGTGCATATTTTGTATATTTCAGATTCTTTTATCGGTAAAATTACATTATTTTTCAATAACAATTTTTTTATTTATCTGCTGTCTAACTTTATAGAAACGTTATCCGAATAATAAATTTTGTAAACGTGTAACAAGAAATATACTCCCTCCGTTCTTTATTATTAGTCCTTCTTTCCTTTTTGGGACGTTTTTTTTATCTGTCCTCCTTTCCATTTAAGGAAAGTTTTTACTTTAAATATACCTTTATACCCCCACTTTTATTACCATTACCCCTTTCTCTTTCCTACTTTTTCATTTACCCACTACTCATTACACCTTTTTACACTACCCCTACTACTTTACTCTTAAAACCCGTGCCAAAGCCTAAGGAGACTAATAAAAAAGAACGGAGGGAGTACAATTATAGAGCATTGTTCTTTTAAATATAACATGACAACTTAAAAAGAATTTAAAATAAATATTACTCAAATAAAACTTATTTATACCAATATCACTAAATTAATATAAACATGGTGTCAAGATCATATAAATGTAAAAATAAAAAATAAGTTACTATGATTATCAAATCACATTTTAATTATGATTATGTGGGGTTAAGTGTTGAGAAGGAAAAAGAGCGAACGGGTCTAGGGTTAGACGACAGGTTGAACATCTTCGCTAGAAGAGGTAGCAGACGGCGGTGTGGCTTGAGTGGCGGAAGGATTTGAGAGACGATTCTACTAAGACTTCGTTTGAGACTGGTTTTTGACAGTATTGGTTGAAGGAGAAGGCTCTCCGATTTAGTCTGTGCCACGGACGGCTGAGGGAGGGGGCGGGCTTCGTGGTGCGGCTGAGGGTGTTGAGTTCATTCGGACCATCCTGAGGATAGATGATGGCGGCGAACCAGAATGAAGAAAACGAGACTATGTTGGTGAAAGTCACGGGTTTTGTGCGGCGGATGGCCCTGATGGTCCGGCCTCCCCCTGAACCACCGTCATGGAATGTTCGAGATGTAGCTTTGACTATTCGTGGAAGGCCTCAGTTATAAGCATCAAGAATAATGGAGTTTGGCAAGTCCTGGAAAGCTCGGTTTGTTTGCATTTTAATATTGTTTTCTTCCCGTTTGTTTTTTATGGTGGACCCTTTGTTGTTTGGATGTGTTATGCTTATTTAGTGGATAGGTTTTTTATGGTGAGAAGTAAGATGGCTTCAAAAGCCGAGATAATCTTCAAATCTCTCGGATGGTTAGCGACTCGATCCGCTCTAGTTATGGTGATCGTTTCTATGTCTTATCAGAGAGTGGGGGAACCTTCGGGTTATGGTGAGTCTGGTAGCAGGATGTTGTTCAGTATTGAAAAATTTGTAACGTTGTTGGTTATCGGATTCCGGTATTGACAGTTTTCCTTTCCAAAAAAAATTATAATTATTTAATTGTTTGTTTAAAATAGTAGAGGAAAGAGAAACCAATTGCAAGCATGTGCCACTGGAAAGAGAAACCAAGCATCTCACTTATTAATAGGTTTATTTCTTTAGCTGAATATTTTTTAAATGATACTCTTTATTAATTACTCGGGAAAACTGTCAAATAGGTCCTCGAACTTTCATAAAAAGGTCAATTAAGTCCTTCTATAGGAGGTTCTGTCCGGCCGTTACGATTTGGGGCAATTACCGGTGGATTTTTTTGATGAAATTTTTTGAGCATCTTATTCACCAAGTCTAGTTTACTCATACCACATTTCAGCTAAAAATTCATTTGGGAACACTTTCAAATTAATTCTTGAAGATAACTGCGCATTTTTGCGTTCTTGAATTAATTTGAATGCGCTCCCAATTAAATTTTTAGCTGAAATTTGGTATGAGTAAACTAGACTTGATGAATAAGATGCTCAAAAAATTTCATCAAAAAATTCCACCGGGAACCGCCCCAAATCGCGACGACCGGACAGAGTCTCCTATAGAAGGACTTAATTGACTGTTTTATGAAAGTTCGAGGACCCATTTGACAGTATTCCCTTAATTACTCCGTACTACGTCGGTAGATTAAATCATGCAAATTATACTGTGTGCACGTTGAGCCGATCCCAAAACGACGTCGCCTTATCAATTAAAAACAAGAGTTGCACCTTCATGTTGGGACTTGGGTACTCTAATCGTCTTCAACCTCTCAAGAAAGTGAGGAGATAATGAATCTCTTATCCGAGAAAGATTTAGAATAGATTTATAGAGCCATTTGTGACCCCCTTACGGCCTGTTTGGATTGAGTGTTGAAGAGTGTTACTATGTTAGTAATGGAAGTGTTAGTAAGTGTTAATACTAACACTTGTTTGGGTGAAAAATTAAGAGGTGTTAAGAAGTGTTACTAAAGGTTAAGAAGTGTTAATAATAACCTTCCCAACACCTCAATTGTCCACTTTTTAAACACTCCGATTTGGAGTGTTTTGAGGTGTTGGACAATTGTTACACTTCTCATTTATTCTAAAAACATAAAATGCTTCGACATCTCACTTCGAATCTCTTTACTGCAAGTATGATGATCTGTCTTTTTCATCTTTTCTTCTTACTCGTTTCTTTTGCCTCAAGGTAAAATTATTAACACTTCTCCTATTAACCCTTCATTCATTTGACTCTCCCAAACAAGGTAAAATTATGTGTAACACTTACATTTCCCTTCCCTTCCGGGCCTTTACTAACACTTACTAACACTTCCATTACTAACACTTCCAGACACTCCATCCAAACAGACCCTTATGGAGTCACATATGATTTCATAAAGATTTTGAAAATAATTATGCATGACCCTTTAAAATTGAAGACAATTTTTTTATTTGATTTAGAGACCGTTTGGCAACACTGTTTTTCAGCTTATTAGGCATGTCAGCCAATTTTTTCACCAAACACGTAACTTTTGCTTTCGCACGCCGAATTGTGTAATAAGCAGAAAAAATAAGGTTGGAGTTACTTTTCTGGCTGTATTAGCTGAAGTTACCGTAGATGACCATTTTAGCTATTTTTACGTATAATTTTTTCTTTATTTTATTAATAAAATATATTTTAAAAATACTTTTTTTAAATCAGCATAATCAGCCAATACAACCACTCCAACCATAACTTCATAAATTTCAGCAAAATCAACCATATCAGCTAATTTTCGTGCTACCAAATGGGCTCTTAGCATCTATAGGGGTGTGTATTAATCAAATACGGATTAATCTGAATTTCTTCATTCTCCTTGACAGGGCCGTAGATGAGGGCGTGCAAGATGTGCTACCGCACAAGGCCTCTCAATTTCAGAAGGCCCCAAATTTTAAATATATAGTCTATATAATATAATAAATCTCTTTTTATTTGATTAAAATTTCCTATCTTAGTAATTTTTTAAATACAAACATTAAATAGTAATATTTATATGTAATTAAAATGCAATTGTTAATTACAATTGTGTAATTTCTTTATTTCACAAGGCCTAGTTACAGTATTTACTATTTAGCACAAAGTCCTCTTATAGTTGGAACGAACTTGTAACTTCTTTTTTTTTTCATACTTTGTCATTACTTTAATTTTCCTAATATATTCTCTTGTCTACTTTTTTATTTACCTTACACCTCTATACTACACTCACTATTTTGTTCTTAAACCCCACAAAAAACCTAAGGAGATTATTATTTAAAAACGGTGGAAGTATTAATATAGTGTTTTATACTTTAGGGCCTCATATTCAATTTTGCACAAGGCCTTTTGTATGTCAGGGTCAGCCCTGCTCCTTGATGTTAATCAATGATGTTAATCGGTTACACACACATTAATACATGAAGTTACATCTATGTAAATGCATTTTACATTTCAATAGATTAAAATTACATTTCCCAAGTTACATTTGACTTGCACCCAAGTTACATTTCAATTAAAACAATTTACATTTTAACAAGTTATTTTAATTAAACTGAGGTTGACACACAATTTACCTTTCATAACAACTCATTAAATCACGTTGTATTTGTGACATTTGTCGGAGTAGGTTTTTATCTGTCACGCAATAAAGCACCTCCGTCACACACACTTTTACATGTATGTAGAAAGTCTGTAACTTTAAAGAAACAGCAACATCTTTCATCCGAGCTTCCAAGCAAAGCCAAAGGGGTTATAATATGCAATGACCCAACGATGGCGAGGATTTCCCAAAAAAGCAGCAACCAATCTACAGCAAGATACCTAACCGAATGTTTGTTCTCTTTTAACACTCTGAAATTTCAGAATAAATCTGCGATTCTTGGGGTTAAATAACCGAAAACAGATAGAGGAAAATTAAAGAGCATAGAGATCAGAGAGATTGAAATATGGGCAGTTTATCAGCATCATCTCTTGTGCTTCCAGGAAAGCAAAGTTCCTGCAGGAGGAAAAAAGTGTCCAAGAAATACACCCAATCTACAGTTCCTGTAAATACTCCCTTTCCTTTTTTATATTTTTCCGGTTTTATTAAGTTTCTTGGAGAAATAATGATTAAAGATTGGATTTTTATTTTGGGTATGGCCCGTATGGGTGAATTTCAGGTTGCAAGGTTATTTGGGCCAGCAATATTTGAAGCATCAAAGCTGAAGGTACTGTATTTAGGTGTTGATAAGGAGAAACATCCAGAAGAGCTTCCAAGAACTTACACCCTTACACACAGTGATATAACTTCTAAGCTCACACTCGCCATCTCCCAAACCATAAATAATTCTCAGGTATGTGTTTGCTGTGAAACCCTAAGATCAAAGATTTTGTTATGAAATTGAATAAATTTATAATTTGGTTATCTGTTAGTATTTGTCGGTAGTGTGGTAGTATACTAATATGAAATATTAGGTAACATATAACAATGGGCTCACATCCAGACCTTTTAGATGAATTCCATATGTTATGATAATCAAAGTCAGTTCTGCTATGGTTTGGCACCCAACTTGTTAAGGGTTTGCTTGGCCTATTATAGAACCTCAAGTTCGGTAAGGCCGTTTGCTCTTGAGTTGAGGTGGAGAATAATTGTTGAGGGTTTCTTCTTGAGTCAAGTACAAAATATTAAACTAACATATAAGATAAGTATATGGGCTATCATAACTAGATTCAGTTGATTACTTAGTCCAACTCAAGATGCTAAACATTGATGTCTCAATAATATTTCTCTGGACTATTATTCTTGATTGAAATCAAACATCATTATATTTGCAGTTGCAGGGTTGGTATAATAGGCTGCAGAGAGATGAAGTAGTTGCAGAGTGGAAGAAGGTGAAGGGGGAAATGTCACTTCATGTTCATTGTCACATAAGTGGAGGCCATTTCTTGTTAGATCTGTGTGCTAGGCTTAGGTACTACATCTTCGGCAAAGAACTCCCAGTGGTAAGTCTTACATTTGTGCTAATATCTCCTACATGGCTATATGGTTAGAATTGTTCTATATCAGATTTAAACTAAATCTAGTTGCATCTTTCTTAATGATCTTTGTGGTGTGAGCTAGACACCATTTATCATTGAATCAGAATATGATACTTTGTGGACTGTTTGTTTCACACTATGTTTTTCTAACTATTCTTATTTAGGATTCCACCACCTTGAAAAGTTAATGTTTTATGTTTGTGTCTCTACATATTGCTAGTCGGAGCGTACTGAATTTGAAATTTGATTCTATTAGCCTAAGCCCGGTGGTTTGCTCTCATGAGTCTCATTCTCTCTAAAATGTAATATGAGAAATAGTTCAAAATCTTGTATGTGATAATGTGAATAGTTCAAATGATACATTTAATGAATGGATAATGGATTGACATATGGTATTTATGTTACTTTTTTTCACTTTTGGGTATTTGAAGGTTCTGAAGGCATTTGTTCATGGAGATGAGAGCTTGCTCATGAATTACCCAGAATTGCAGGAAGCTTCAGTTTGGGTTTACTTCCACTCTAACATTCCAGAATTCAACAAAGTGGAGTGCTGGGGCCCACTGAAGGAAGCGTCTTCCCCTCCTCCTAAGTCAGTCAGATCTGGAAGCAAGGAAGACATGCCAGACCCTTGCGAAGAAGCTTGTGATTGTTGCTTCCCGACAATGAGTTCAAGAGCTTGGTCGCCTTCTTCACCCGATCCCTCTGGGTCCACCGAGACACCGAATTTAGACGCTTTCCCTGATTCTACTGGTAGATGAAAGGAATAGGGAGTAGTACTAGTAGTATTAGGTCATTTGATAGGAGGATGCACATGTATATGTGGTCTACACACTACCCCTACAGAAAGGTTATAGTGGTTGAAGAAGCAAATTCCTGTTCCAAATCTTAGAGCTGTGAGCCTGTGATATATTGTAGCCATTGTAAATTAAAGAAGCAAGTGAATGTTGAAATGGAATAGCAAGTTTCTTATGTTATAAAAGGTTGTGTAAGTTCGGTTTTGTTCCTAGTGATCTTTTTAGTTTACAAACGAAACATCATCACAGCATCTTCATTCTTTTTGCAACTTGATTCGGATAATCAAACCTTCCACATTTAGGAAAGACCTTGCTTGCACTCTTTGCAAGCCAAGTATCGTTGGCTTTATTTTTGAATGAAAAAGTAGATCTTGTTAATTTTGAAACTGAAAAAGTATAATAGAAACAATCAACTTGAAAGGAGAGAAAGGGATAACCGTAATAGTAATATGTGTAAAGATTCTGGGTCACTTCCCGTTTCGGGTATACTGTTTCGAAAATTTCTAGTCCTAAAACTGATTATATGGTTTCAATCCAGAAACGAAAGTACTTTTGCCCCAATTATGCCCCTCCTAAATGCAGCACCCAACCCCACAATCTATCGCCTAGAGACCAAATAGCCCTTTTAGAACACCTAGCGTGATCATACTATATTTGATATTAACAAAGAAGCCATTGGGGATTTGGGGTACTATCTGGTCAGGTGTATTAGGTTGAAATTGTTGAATCTGCAGGTACTTTAAAAGTACTAAATACATTAGGTGTTTTGGACACTTCCCTTTCAAGTTTCAACTAAACAAGTGAAAATCACGATGCCAATTGTAAATGTCAATTTATGTTGCACGAGAACATTGGGAACATATGGAAACAGAAAACTAAAGAGTTTCCATAGAGTTTTCAAAACGTAAATACAAAGCTTCCAACTTTCCATGCTTCATTTATGCTAAGAGCAGCCAGTGGTGCAAATGACGATTGCCATTGGCGAAACATGTTCAGATAAATTTCATCAAAAAATTCACCAGAATCGCCTCAAATAGAGGTTATAGAGGCAGCCGCACAGCGGGTTCCAGTCAGGTGGACTGATTAGATCAGTTCTCTTGTTTGACACCCTTATCACCTGAAGCTATGCATCTCATTCTTATGTTCATTTCATTATGGCTATTGATGTGTCAGTGAGAATATGTGGTTCCCTATCACCTAAAGCTACATGTTTATGCATTACGGAGTATAAGCTACTCTATATGTATGTGTATACTGTATATTGTATATTGAAATATGTGATATAGTATTAGTTTAGTTATTTAACTCTTTTATTGGTGGTTTAGTCATACTACTATATTGTCTTAGTTTTAGTGTATCGTGGCAAGGCCATAAACGCGCCATCACAGCGATAAACTGCCCCCACTCCATGATGGTCGATGTCCACCATGACAACTTTGATGTCAAGCGAGACCTAAATAATAACTTCCGGTTCCACTTAAAATGGATTTCAGAAGATCAAGTCATTCAGAAACAAAAGAACACACTACACAAGTCTTGACAGTTGACATTGATGAGAACCTTTTATAAGCTCATAGTTAAGATGTGAAGGGTCCCTCTTTCCCAGCATAAGAAATGTAGGTCCATGGTAAAGAACCTCATTCATTCATTGTATATGAAACCAAAACCTAAAAAACAGAGCAGCTAAAAAAACAGAATGGGTATAAATGAAAACTATGTTTAACGCTTCTTCGAGACACCAACGGTCTTTCCCCTGCGCCCAGTAGTCTTAGTGTGCTGTCCACGTACACGAAGACCCCAGTAGTGTCGCAGACCACGGTGATTCCTAATCATTCATTCATTATCAACTACTACAAGTCAGAGAGCAGTACATAGTAGAAACAAATATGGCAGCTAAAAGAAGACATTCTTGTGAATGCAAAAGTAGATAAACAGTAACAATAGTACTAGTAATAAGAGGAATAATACATGAATCATTTTACAGCTTCTATCCACTTTAATCAGATATAACATTACTAAACACATCCATTTCCAATCATTATTGATAACTGTGCACTTGTAACATTTCAAATATACATTTCAAAATTGCTTAGGAAAATTTAAAAATAAAATGGGAAGTTAAATAATGAAATCCAGAGAATAATTTATTAGAGCATTATTTGGATTCCAGATAACGCTGAGGAAGGGAAATAAAAGGCTAAGGAACTTATTTGCTGATGTTAGCTTTTACCTCGCAAAGTGAAAAGGAAAATGAAATAGGATTAACGTTTGTAAATTTTTACATATGCTAAGATTTCTTAGTATTTTTATAATAGAAATAAACTTCATAAATTGAGATTGAACATATAGTAAACGTAAAGTTATCAAGATTTAAATGATATTTTATTTTTCTGAACATCTTCTTCCTTCTATTTTCTTTCCCTAGCCTTTTCGGTGTGTTCCAAACTTACTTTAATTGGTAAAACTATTCATTATGGAATATTCTAAACAATATCGATAGAAGCTGCTTAGGATAAAGACACAACCTGAAGTAAAATGCATTGAAGTCTTAAAGATGAGTAAGAATAGTAAAATTAATGTTAAGAAATTGTGAGCACTCATCATAAATAGTTAAATACTAACAATACTGTCAATACTAATTGTAAATTTGTAACAAGTGGGGTACGAAGACGAGAAACCATTACCGAATTTTCTTCAAACGCTCAAGATCATCCCTGAGTTTCATATCCAATGCATTGGAGACAACCTGTGAGTAGTTCCCATCCTTGTAATCCTTCTGCCTGTTGAGGAACCAGTCAGGGATCTTGAACTGCCTTGGGTTCGCAACCACTGTCATCAAATTCTCAATTTCTGCTGCAGAAAGTTCACCAGCCCTGTACCACCAATTTGAGTATCAAATAGATTATAAGACAGAAATACAATCAACTATACAACAACAACATCCAAGCCTTATTCCCGAAACATTTTGGGGTCATGATGTGATGAACTATAAGCCATAGAAATGGATTTAAATACTACAGAGTATTCACTACGCCATATACTAAAAAATTCCCAAATTTAGAAATCATAAATGATATCCAAAATTTCCAATTTATACAGAGAATAATGCAATTATATTTTCCCATAAGACATTCAGCTCATGTGCTGACATAAATAATTCTAGTTATAATTTATAAACCCAAAAAATTACTCACTTTGAAACCCAGCCACACATAGACATTCATGTGACCATTTCAGCTTAATTTCTTGACTAAAAAAATGCCTGTGATTTTTGGGTATAGATTGCCATAGTTTGTTTTGCAATCAATTTTTAATTTCAAATTTTGTGAATTAATTTTGGTACACTCAATTGGTGTTATGCTACAACAAAAACAACATCCAAGCTTAGTCTGAAAATAGGGGTTGGGTAACATGAGCCCAAGCCTTAGTCCCAAAACAGTTTGGGTTCAGCTGACAATGAATGAACGTATGAAATTGGATTTAAAAAGGATATAAAGGTATGAATACTCCAATTGGTGTTATACTATAATACGGAGTATTAAATTAAAATTCCGGCAAGTAAACTTCTTTCGCGGACAAATAAGAATGATTGAATTTGTTAATAACATGTGAAAAGAGAAGTTTAAGAGGACATATAAGGGAAAGACCTAACCTTTTGTTCATGTCAATATCAGCTTTTTTGCAGCAGATGTTGGCGAACCTGCGGCCAATACCTTTGATGGAAGTGAGGGCGAACATAATCTTCTGCTTTCCATCAACGTTGGTGTTCAGGATACGCAGAATGTGCTGGAAATCTTCATTCGCTACCAAACTCTGCCCTCCAAAAAATGCAAAATCAAAACAACAATTGAACCATAAAACAACTATGCAGTTAAACAAATCGTACTTCTCATCAAGAAACACATGCTTACCATGGCTGCGGCTACCTTTCCCTCCTCTCCCCTCACACTCAGCGATGCGAATCTGAGGTGGAAACTGGGAACCGAGGGTTTATACTGTTTAATTCTCAGTATACAATTTTAGACGCGCCACTGGGAATTATATAGTGGTGTGCAAAATTGGTGGGGCAAATTTATTACTTCATCCGTCCAATAAAATTTTCCCACTTTGACTTGGTAAGGAGATTAGGGTTGAGCAAAACCCGATCTGACCCGAAAAACCTGATATTTTTTTCGGATATTATCCGAACCGAAGTGGATATATGACCCGAAAAATCCGAAACCGAAAAATCCGATTATTATTGGGTCTAGACCGGGTGGCGGGTAGGGTTTTTAAAATCTCAACCCGACCCGCCCGAATATCCGAAATATATGTTAGTGTGTACTTTGAATATGTTAATTAATATTTGTGTTCAATTATTTGTGTAATTATTTGTGCAATTTGTATTAAATTATTTGTGTAAATTGAATGTGTAGTGCACTAGTGTGTACAATTTTTATCAAAGTGGCATTCCAACACTTTAATTATCCAATTATAATGTGTTTTAATATAACCAAAATATCCAAAATATATTAAATTATGTAGTGTGTACTTTGAATATGTTAAATTAATACTTATGTTCAATTATTTGTGTAATTATTTATGCACTTTGTGTTAAATTATTTGTGTAATTTGGATGTTTAGTGCACTAGTGTGTACAATTTTTGTCAAAGTGACATTTAAACACTTTACTTATCCAATTATATTTTTTTAATATAACCGAAATATCCGAAACCCGACCCGATATCCGATAATATCCGACTTAAAAATATCTGAAATACCCGATTTGAAATATCAAAGGGTCAGTCGGGCCTAGTATTTAAATTTAAAAAAAAACACGAACGGGTTTAGGGTTTGCAAACCCGACCCGCCTGAACCCGACCCGTGCACACCCCTAACGGAGATTAAAAAAGTGGAATAAAGTAGAAATGTATGATTGTGGTTATGTAAGAAAATGGTGAAATGAATGTGAAGCACACAAATTGTCCAAAAATGATAAGCGGAAAGAAATTTTTGGGACGGCCCAAAAAGGAAGGTGAGAAGAATTTTATGTGACGGAGGAAGTAATTTCGTGCTACAAAATAGTGAAACCTATAAAAAAAATCTTTCCAAAAACTTCCAACTTTACTTTTTTGGACATTTCAAAATAAACTTTCATTTTCTCGTTTTGGTAAGGAATTTGTGGTCCATAACAATTTTTTACACATTTTCTCTCATCTGCAAAATTCCCCACCACACAATGTCTACTATCT